AAAAGAATTTAAGTTCGAATAGTCAGTGTGGTGATTCTTCAAAACACTAACAATACAGCTTGCATTTAACCCAGCTATGCCTCGCTTCAGTGGATTCCCTAGAGAATTAAAGTCAGCATACTATTGAGATACCACATACGCCTGTTTGCTGCAGCACAATTCACAATAGTTAAGCTGTAGAAACATCCTATGTGCCCATCAACAGATGGATAGTTAAACAAAATGCAGAATATATACACAATGGACTATTAATCAGCCGTGGAAAAGAACAAAATCACGTTTTTTGCAAGAAAATGGATAGAACTGGATTATGTTAAGTGAAATAAGCCAGAACCAGAAAATCAATTATCATACATTTTCTCATATCAAGTATCTAGAAAAAATTTCAATTTAAAAAAAGAGATGATAGGCTGGGTGTGGTGGCACACACCTGTAATCCCAGCACTTGGGAAGCTTAGGCAGCAGGATTGCTGTGAGTTCGAAACCAGCCTGAGCTACATAGTGAGTTCTAGGTCGGTCTCAACTACATAGTGAGACCCCCATCTCAAAAAAACAAAAAAAAATACATAAATAAATATTATAAAAAATAAAAAAGAGATTATATATTTTAAATAATATGGATATCTCTGCAGCTAGCATGGATATTCAAGTACCTCTTCTGTATGCTGAGTTTTCCATAATGGCTGTACTAATTTAAATTTCCACCAGTAATATGCATGGTTTCTTTTTCTCCTCTGTGGCACCAGCATTTGCTATTTGGGGTTGTTTGGGGATGGGTTAGTTTGTTTGATTGCTTATTTGTTTTTGACTGTAGCTCTTCTAATTAGGGTAGGTTATTATCTCATTGTAAATTGATTTTACTTCTCTGATGGCTAATGATACTGAGCAGAAGAGGAGATATAACTGGCTGATAAATATAGCAATCAATTTCTACCAAAAAAGGCAGCTAGGATTTTGATAGAGATTGTATTTAATTTGTAGATCAATTTAGGGAATATTGTCATCGTAATAACATTATGTCTTTTGATCTATAAATATAGAAAAAAATTTTTCATTTTATATAGATCTTTTAAAACTTCTTTCAATATTGCTTTGTGATTTTTAGGATGTAAGTTTTATATTTATTTTCTAAATTCCAGAGTGATTTTTGTGCTATTCTAAAAGAGATTATTTTCTTAATTTCATTTCAGATTATTACAAGTATATGAAACACAATTGAGATTTATACATTGATCTTGAATCCATACTGATCTTATTTCCTATTTCTTAGACGTTTCAGTGGATTTCCCAGAATTTTCTCTATACAAGATTGTTATTACAAATGGAGTTTTTACTTCTATAAGCCAGATGTATTTTAGTGTTTTTTCTTGCTTAATTCCAAAAATTTGGTTTGATTTTTGTTGTTTACATATTCTATAATTTTGTTTAAATTGGACATTGTTTTTAGAGTAGAAAATTTTATTGAGAAAAAGAAAGCTTCTAAGAGAGACAGAAGGGGGACCAGAAAATGGGTTGCCCCTAAAATTGGACATTTTATATACTGTGACAACCCTGGATTCTGATAACTACTCCTCAGATCCACCATTTGTTGCTCTCATGCCTGCTTAGTGGCTGGACTTCTTCATAGAAATCTATTTACCCCTCTGCGTGCAGCATACCCCACTTATGTTGTACTCTTCTTATGTTGAAATTTGGGTGTGCCTGCAATCCTTCTCACCACCTCTCCTCAGATAACTGTGCGTTTTTAAGGTTCTTTTTAATTGTCTCTCTCTGATCTCCCTGTTAGGGAGGCTCTGGCTGGTCTGTTACTATTACATCCACTTCTTAGTCCCCACTAACTGATTGTTCTATTACCTTTGACAACTCTTCCATAGTTGGATTCAATTACAGTCCAGCCTCTTTTCATGGATAGTCTTTAAGGCCACCCTTTGTGGCTTTTTTTTAACTGTACAAGGACTCTTTTTTCATGCCTTTACCTTTAGTTCTCTCTGTTAAATTTCTAGCTACTATATCATTTAGCTTTTTGCTATCATGCAACTACAATCTCCTCCTGATTCTTTTCACCAAGCTCTCCACTGTTCTAGATGGTGCCCTTATGCATGAAACTCTAAATAAGATCTCCCCTTACTAAGATCTATAAAATTCTCTATTCTTTTAGCCTCTTTGCTCCCTGGGCAAAGCCTTTATCCTACTGCTTCATAACTGGGGACAGAGAAAATAGCCTGCTTCCCTCAGAGTGCCATTACCACTTCATGAACAGGACAATAGCTCCTGGCTTTTGCAGCTTGTTTTTTTCAAACGTGAAACACCCTTCCTGTTGATACTGGATGATAGAATAAATCACTTGACTTAGAGACAACAGAAATTAGACCAGACCAAATATTGCAAGAACACACACTTTTGCACAGAGGAAGTTTTGTGGTATAGGGGAGCTTCAACAAAATTAGGGTTTTGGCTGAAAGGAGCCATCATTTGTTCAAGAGAATAACCAAGCTTCTGCTCATAGAACAAAGGGAACAAAAGGTTTCTATTTATTTGCAAGTAGCTAAAGTCTGGTTATTCTCATTGGCCAGGGGCATGGTGGCAAAAAATGTTTCCTTTTTTGATGAACTTGGATGACCAGAAGATCATAGACAAACTGTGTGAGAGGCTACTGAATTTTTGTGTATTTATTACCATCATCCTGCACAAAACATCCCTCTCTCATGGGTGTAAGCCTTAGGATAGGGCTTAAGAAATTTAGGCCTTAGGCTGATGCTGCTGAAGAAGCCCGAGGGTCAAGGCAGAAAAGGGGAGGGAGAAAAAGAAAGCTGGTTATAGTTTAGATCAAAAATATCTCTGAGAAGTCTCATGTTTAGACTTGTAGCTTTTGAAAGGTGACTGAAAGAATCATGGGGGTGCTATGCTTATCAATAAATTAATCAATTGGCTAAATGTGCTGTTAGGGGTGGGACCTGGCTTGAGGTAGGTTCCTGGGGGGATTATCTGACAGATTTGTCCCCATCTCTTCCCTGCCCTCTGTCTCTCTGCATTTTTCTGCCATAAGGTGAGCAACTGCCTCCACCAGGTCATTTCACCATGCAATTTCTGCCTTGGAGGCAGCCAGACATCGACTGATTCCACTAAAATTGTGAATCAAACTAAACCACTCCTCCTTTAAATTGTGGCTGCCAGGTTTTTGTCCCAACAACAGGAAAATGACAAATACAGAAAATAGTACAGGGAGTGGAGTCATTGCTATGACTATAGCAGACCATATGGTTTAGAAGCTTTTTAAACTGGTTTGCAAGAAGATTACTGAAAGTTTAGGAGATGCCAGCTAGCAAAGACTTAGAAGTCTACAAACAGAGCTTAATAGGAAGTTCTTGTTGAAGTTCACAAGACCAGAATGCTGATAGGGCAATAAAGGCTAGGCTTGTGAAGTTTCAGTTGGGAATGAACATTCTATTAGAAATGATGCTAGAGGCCAAGGTGTTTCATTCTGATGAAGAATTTGTTCATGTTTGGTCTGTTATAAGACTGTGTGAAATGTAAATTAAAGGCAGCAAATTAATTGATCCAGCAGAAGAAATTTCAAGGCAGCATAATGTTCTGGCTGTGGCATGGATACTTCTAGGTGCATTTAGCCAATTTAATAGTAAAAATTAGGAACAAAGAGCAGAGCAAACAGATATAAAAAGTTTATAGTTTCACTAGAAAGAAAGCATCAGCAAAGGTGTGACTGGAGATCATGCCGCTGAAAAAATAGCATTTTTTAAAAAGCATTTTGCTTTTAAATTCTTTAGCAGACATATAAACTACAACCTCTACTGATTCGTGTTGGTATTTTTAGTGTAATCATTCACAATTTTTGTCATTATGCTACTCGTGAAATATGTAGAAAATTCTTAACAGTTGTGTATCCTTGGAATTGTATTTCTCCATCTATCTCATTTAACTTTTGTAAAATAACAACATTTAAAAAAATTATTTTCACTATCATCTGTTGAAGATATATAGATGTTTAGTGAAGTACTACAATGGTCTTTTCTGGGAAATTGAGTTTTTCTGCTTTTGAAAAGGTTTGCTTTTTTAAAAAGGTGTAATCAAAAAGTTATAAACACATCTGCTCTGTAATTTCACATTTTGTTACATGAAAAATATTTTAACACCCCCCCCAGCAATGTTGTTTCTATTTAGTTCCATATATGGTTGCACTTTCGTTTTGAAAACCATAAACTACATTAACACGATCGGGTCAGGAACATGTTTGGTAATCTACCTCGTAAACACATTCAACAAGTGTCTTCAAATATTCATGCTATTCACACAAAGCTGCTGAGACCAACCCAGTTGCTCTCCTGCGATGCGCTTGTAGGTGTGATAGCAAGTAAGCAACTGACTCAAATACAGAAGCACTGACTGGCAAACTGTCAATGATCACAGTCTACACTCTCTCCACGCGAACGAACAAATCATAGCAATGGGCTCCTTAGCTCTAAAGCCTGGACCCTCTGGAGCATCAAGAGCTACTTGTGCTCATCGTTTGTCTCTGTCAGAGTCGAGCGGTGCCTCCCAGCGGCAGGATAGGGACTTTGCTCTTCGGGAGCTGGACAATGACTGTTCCTGCCTGTGGGTTCTAAGGACAGGCTCAGTGGGAAGACACTTCCAACGTGGACTCGTTCCCCACAGGACGACTCCCTTAAGCGTGGCGCGGGCCCTGCTGATACTGAAGGGCTACAGGGCCCCGATCGGAAGATCGGTCCTGCAGCTCGCTCCTCGCCGCGATGACTTCCATAGCAGCTGGGCTGGAAGACCGGCCGGAGCCTTGCGGTGGAGCTCAGGCCTGCGGGGAATGCCCCTGCCTGGGACCGGCGCGACCGTGAGGGGCG